CCCGCACCAGCCCCTCCTCCTGCCCCCGCTGTGGTCCCAGGACTCACCCAACCCCAAGTCTGATGAAGTCCCCACACCCAAGGTGGCACATCTAGCCACTCCCCCACCACTCCGAGCCACCTCCCCCTCCAGGTTATAAGTCCCCCTCTTCCACTCCCTCCAGCTTTTTTTAATGAAAGATCAATACAGAGTTCATTTTGTGGAAAACCAAACAGGTGTCTTTATTCAGAGGTCAGGGAAGGGGTGAAGGGAGGGGTTGTGTTGGGAAAGGGATAGGTCAGCAAACCAGAGGCACCTGAGGGAAGGCCCTGGGGAGACTTACTGGGGTCCTTGAGAGAAACTCTCCCCGGCCTGATGGGCCTGGCGGATGGCAGTTCTCCGCGGCTGCTCGAAGGGTCTCCCCTTGTGGCCAGCATCTGCCCCCCACCCCGGGAGGAAAGCCTCCCCCTTCCTTGCCACAAATGTTGTGGATGACACATGCCAATACCTCCTCAGGGATGTTGTGCTCCCCCATGTCCAGGTGGGTCAGCAGGCACCTGAAATGTGCCTTGAGGGGGTCAAAGGCACACTACACCTGAATAATGGCCAGGTTCAGGTGAGCATTAAATTGGTTCCTGATAGAGTCCAGGTGGCCAGGATATGGCTTCATAAGCCACGGCATCAAGGGGTAGGCCATGTCTCTCCTGATGCACAATGGCATCTGCTCGTCCCCAACCTCAAAGCCACAGCAGAGGAAGAATGTGCCTGCCTCCAGCTTCCCATAGAGGCTGGAGTTCCAAAAAATCTGGGCATCGTGTGCCCTGCCCAACCACCCGACAAAAATGTCCATGAACTGTCCACAGTGGTCGACCAGGGCCTGCAGCACCATTGAAAAGTAGCCCTTGTGGTTAACATACTGGGCCATTTGATGTTCAGGTGTGCGGATCAGGATGTTGGTCCCATCTATGGCTCCACTGCTGTTTGGGAACCACAAGGCAGCAAATTCAGCCACGATGAAATAGGCCTTCCTGTCGATGTACTGGGCAGCTTGATGAGTTGGTGCACAGATTGGGATGTGGATTCCATCAATCACTCCCCTGCTGTTAGGGAATCCCAGGGTGACAAATCCTGCAATGATTGAGTCCAGGTCTCCCAGGAGAATGATCCTGCACAGCAGGATGGAGTTGATGGCCCTCACAACCTGCAGAAGGAGAAAAATAAACATGCAAAACAGAGAATGAGAGGGAGTGCCTGAGCCCTTGGGAGGTGCCCACCCCCTCCCCAAACACCCCAGGAGCCACATCCTATGAGGCCGCTCCTCAGCAGGGCTGTGTGAGGGTGGGACGGCACAACGCCCCCCAGGGACAAGGCTTCTCCTCACCCCCACTCCACCCCCCACACCTCTCAACTCCCCTTTCCTGAGGGTCCTCCTTTTCCAGGATTCTCCCTCCCCCCACCCCTGCCAGGCAGGGACTGCAGCCCAAGAGTGCCTTACCTCCATGAGAGGAGCCCTGACAGTGGACTTCCCCATGCAGAACTGGTTGCACATGGACTGGTAACTGTCTGGGGTGGCGAGCTTCCAGATGGCAATGCCGACCAGCTTCTCCAGGAGGATGGTGGGCCGCAGGTGGGTGTCACGTTGTCAGAGGGCAGGGTTGAGCCAAGCACACAGCTCCAAAAAGGTGGCCTTCTGCATGCAGAAGTTTTGGAGCCACTGCTGGTCATCCCACTACTCCATAACCAGATGGTCTTACTAGTCCAAACTGGTGTCCAGCCTCCAGAAACGCCTCTCCACTGTGGGTTGCTGTGGCATGTGTGTTGCTCCTGCACCCAGGGAGAGGGTCCCCAAAATGAGCTCGGGGTCAAGCTTGTGCAGGACCAGGAAGGCAGCCAGCACCAAGTACTGCAGAAACTGCAGCATGGCAATGTGGAGCCATCACATGCCCAAGGGCAGCTCCGGCTCCATGGCACAAAGAAAAAGCTGTGGCATCCAAAAAAGCTGGGCAACCAGAGTATGCACTGCAAGAGTTTTGCTGTCCCTTGAAGAGGTATGCAAGCACACAGCAGAAGCAGAAAAAGGGCTGTCCAGGGTGGGTCCCTTTAAGTGTGTGTGTCTGCTACGCTCTGGCACCAGCACTAGGAAGCAACTGGTGACCTAAAGCCCTGCCTGAAGTTGTTCGAGGTGGCCTTATATGTGAGATAGCGTCCAATCAGTCTGGATGCTATCTTTCAAAAAAGCCGATCGCTTTTTCGATTGCTTGGCCAGTGTGGACGTGCTCTTTTGGAAGAATTTTTTTTGAAAGCTCTCTTCCAGAAAAACTTCTTCTAAAAGATGCCCGCAATGTAGACATAGCCCTCGAGTGGAAAAGCCTTTTTGATGAAGAATGTTTAGCAAGTGGTTCCTAAAGATGGCCAGGCTCTTGAATGGCCTTATCTTCTGCAATCTATCGTGATTCTTATTTATGAGAGAAGAGTTTTCATCCAGTAAAAAAACAGAGACCAAGAAAAGATAGGGTACATTGGGAAATCCACAGGAGAGAAAAATCTAAGTTTTTGTCACCATTTTTATTTTATTTTATTTATTTTATTTTATTGTGAACGTGTGACTTTCTTGCCATCACACATAAAAGTGTATTTTAGAAGGCATTTGAATTAGGGATATAAGTGACTTCTCAAGTAGTCAACTAGTCCAGTCACTACTTGTCTAGTCACTTCCCGCCCCATCTGCTTCCGTATCAGAGGCAGCAAGGGCAGGGAGCAGGAGCCACAGCTTAAAAGCCAGTTCCTCCAGCACCATCTCTGTGCGGAGCAGAGGAGGCAGAGATGCAGCAGGGGATGCAGCGCAAGCCAGGACTGAGCAGTCCCAGCTCGCACTGGGTCCCTGATGCTATGCCTCTGCTTTTTAAATGTAGTAAGAGCCATTAGGCTCTTACTACATTTAAAAGGCAGAGCTACAGTGGTCTGGGACTGGGCGCGAACTGGGACAGCTGAGTTGGCGCATGCCTGGCAGCTCTTATTATATTTAAAAAGTAGAGGTGCAGCATCTGGGAATAGAATGAGCTGTTCCATCGACTACTCGATTAGCTTACTAACCGCTATTTAACATCCCTAATTTGAATAATGAGAGGTTGAGGAAATATAGCATGGTGGAAAGTGGAACTAACCTATGCTGTAAAACTGACTCCTAGAATGACCTTTTGCAGATAATCAAAAATTGTTGCTGCGTGAATGCTTAAAATCCTACACAATCTCATTTTTGTTACTGCACTTAAGCTCCTCAAATTTCTTTTTTGTTATTTTGGTATGGTTTTGAATAACAATGACTTCTGTAATTTAGACGCTCAAATTATAACATTAAACAATGGCTAGGACTGCAAGGCATTAGAAGGCACTATAATACACCTTCAATTGATGAAATCACTAGTGTTGTAATATAATCAAATGTAGAAAATAAACCCAGTGCCAGACAAAATTACTTCTAATGCCTATATCTTCCTAACCTAGGCCCTAGTTCAACAAAGTACTTAAGCATGCATTTAAATCACAAGGGTTAAAGTTAAGTATGTGCTTATTTAGGGTGTGCATACTCTGTAGTAAAAAACCTGCAGTGCCACATTGAAACCCAGGTCAGCTGGTAGGCTCACAGAGCTATGCAATTGCAATGTAGACATTCAGGTTGTATTTGGAGCCCCTGTCGTTTCAGTGGATTTAAGTGTTTTGCTGAATTGTAACGAGGAGTCCTGTGGCACCTTATAGACTAACTGAAGTGTAGGAGCATAAGCTTTCGTGGGCAAAGACCCACTTCGTCAGATGCATGTAGTGGAAATATCCACAGGCAGGTATAAATATGCAGGCCAGGATCAGGCTGGAGAGGACGAGGTGGATCCAATCAAGGAGGATGAGGCCCACTTCTTGCTGAATTGGATTATCTGTAATTCCATTTTCCCACACTATGTCTCACTGATTTTATGTCCGGCCAACGCAAAGGTTCTCTTCACACTGAAAATAACAAATCATTTCATTTAAGGCTCTTGCCTGATAACATTCTTCTCTAACAGAATGTCCCAAGAATGGCAAACTTCAACCTCTTAATTTAAGTTGAAAATGGATCTAGAGCAAATAGGTTCTCTCACCTGCGAAGGATAAGTATTATGTTTCTTTCATAGAAATAAAAGACCTGTATATTTCACTCATGCCTTGCAGTCTTGGTGAGCTATAGGTGAGAAACACAATAACCATCCTTAAGTAGTGAGACACATCAGCTAGTTTAGTGGGAGTGGTTTGTATTCCAGCCCATAAATTGGATTTTTTATGAGTTCTTAGCATTGTGCAATATTTGAAAACTGAAAAATTCTTTAGAGCAAAAGAAGCCAGGGAGGGGCGATGTCCGTCTGGCCCTGGCTGGTCCCTGGGGAAAAGGGCTGGCGCGGGTGGGCGGCATGCCAGCTGGGAGGGGGAGGGAGGCTCGCGGGAGCATGGAACCGGCCCCGCCCCTCTCAACCCAGTCCTACAGTCCCTTCACCCGCACTCGAAGTCCTGCCCAGTACCCGCGTTCCCAGGCTGAAGACGCATGCGCGGAGTTTGGCCCCACCCTGGCAGTGGAACCCCGAGGACCAGCGCCATAGTGCCCCACGGAAGGACTTTTGCGCTGGACCCCAGCGCGGCCGGAAGGGGGACACTGGCTGGAGAGCACACATCCGCTTTCTTTTGAACGCCGAGGTCTTTGCGTCCCGGAGAGCTGCTCCCGCCTTATCCGCTGCGCTGGGTCCGGCCAGGGCTTCCCTTTCCCGCCTTATGGCCGCCTCCGTAGTGAGTCCGCGGGCAACCTGGAGCGGGAGGCGGGAGGGAGGCGACAGCTCGTCCTCCGTGTGCGGGGGGGGGGACCGCGTGTTGTGCGTGTGTCTGTGGGGGGGGCACCGCGCGCGCGCGGCCTTGCCTGCCTGGGGCCCCCGGAACTCGACACCGTACCTCTCGTTAGACCTGCCGAGCGCGGGCCATACCACAAGCAGCTGGCATCAGCGCTGAGGGGGGCTGGGGGCAGAGAGGACGAGAGCTGTCTGCAAGACTCTGCAGGTGTGAATGCGCATGGGGGGGGGGTGGAATCATGGGGTGAAATATCTAGGAAAACTTACTTGGAATGTTAAGACAACTAATTTGCCATCTCTCCTACGAGATCTGTTTGTAGTTCAGTCTACCAAGAGTCATGAATGCCATGGACATATGGATGTAAGTGATTAGTCAAGTAGTGGACTAATTGCTGCTTTCCTTCCCCACAGCCTCTGTATCAGAGGCTGCAAGGGTAGAGGGGAGCAGGAGATGGTGGTAGGGGAACCCGTCTCCGCGGTGTGGGGAGGAGGCAGAGGTGCAGTGGTCTGCAACCCACTAGGGTATGGGACCGCTCAGTCCTACTTGCACCTGGTCCTGGATCGTTAAGCCTCTGCATTTTAAATGTATTAAATTCTGGTTCCCAGACTTACCCCTGCTGCAGCTCTGTATTTTAAATGTTGTAAGAGCCACCAGAGCCTGGAAGCTCTTACTGCATTTAAAGTGCAGAGGTGCAGCAGTCTGGGACCCAGCACAAGCCAGGACAGCTCAGTCTCTGCTCGTGCGGGGTCTGGGACCTACCCCTGCTGTGGATCTGCAATTTAAATGTAGTAAGAGCCAGGCTGCCTGTGTGCCCGGCTCCTGCTACATTTAAACTGCAAAACAGCAGTGGTGGCCCTTATCAAATAATCAGATGGACTTCATGCACCCCCCCCACCTTCCCCTGCCACTGTTGCCCCGAAACGGTACTGGGGGGGAGGAGCCGGGTACGGGATCGTGACTGTCCCCCAGGGAGAGAGAGAGGGGGATCCCTGAAATCCGGACAGAAAGGCAAGAAGGAGGGTCCCACTCCGCCTGAATGCCGGACTGATCAACTACACAATTAGTTAATTACTCACTTACATCCTTACATGGACAACTGTTCAGCATAAGCTTTTATGAGACTGGGATGATTGGGAAACAGAACTCTTCCATTGTGCTACCTCATTTTGTTGTTATATATGTTGATTTACTTGCTTGAGAAACTGCTCACAGAATTTAATCAAACTAACAGTTTTACATTGCCCTATGTTTTGTTGATATTTCTAGAACTTTAAAACTTGTGTGGATCAGACTTGTAGAGCTGCTGAAGAGTTTGTCAACATTTACTATGATACCATGGATAAAAGAAGAAGGGTAGGTAGATCCCTACCATGACTCAATTGTTGCCCCTTGTCACTTTTCTGTTTACTTGAATTATGAGAATGATCTTCCTATATACTTCGAGACTTCTGGGAGGTAGCTACCACCCATCTTAGCATTACTGGCAGATTTCAGATTTGCATGTGTCTTCTGATCTGCTCTATAAAATATCCTTCAAGATCTAAATTAGGGGTTCTTAAACTTTTTCATTATGTAAGATGCTTCTACAGAGTGTCTCATAGATCCCTTCCCAGTCATGATTCTCTTTGTTTCTGTATCTCTTTCTTTGGCAGCTACAGTGCATAACAAATTTTAATATGAACTATTAAAACTCCGTTCATCTGAAGAAGTGGGCTGTGCCCACAAAAGCTCATGATACCCTCTACATGTTTTGTTAGTCTGTACAGGATACACTTAAAAAACAACAAATGGTCTGGTAGCACTTTATAAACTAACTCAGTTACTCCTTGAAGCTATTAAAATTAGTTGTATTTAGTTTTCTTTTTCAGAACATCTGAACTCTGAATTAATAAATTTCCTTTCTCCTAACCTTCTAAGCTAGTTGTGCCACTGTAATGGAATGTGGGTATTTCTAGAAATGACTGAGGAAGAGAAAGTGGCAGCAGCAGCAGGTGGTCAGGAAGTGCTCCATGCGCAGCAGTTGAAGAATTGCTGATCTAAATGCTTTTTCACACACTTGTTTATTATGATGGCTTTTTTGGATCTCTAGATGTATGTGATAGAGATGCAAGGGTCAACATGGACCCTTCTTTAAAGTTTGTCTTATAGAACCCAAACTCTGGCCTTTCCCCTGAGACATGCTATGCTGTGTGCTTTTGTATCTTTCCAGTGACCCTTGTTTATATGCAAGTTAATTTTACTCAGGTTACATTCCCCTGTGTTCTTTGTCTTAATGAAATACTTTGGAGCTGAAAGCTTAGAGTAGAGAGTATTTCTTGTTACTTAAGAAAACTAAGTTATAAAGCAACATACAGGATGTCAGTTGACAATGGAAGCCAATGTTTGAGTAGGACAATTCAGTCAGTGCTATATGAAGAAGGATCGAATATGTAAAATACTGTTTTAATTCTTCTCATCATATGACTGTGTTTCCTATATTGGCAACAAGTAGCATGACTTTTACTAATGCATTTTTCCAAACTTGTATAATCCTTAGATGTTGACTAGACTTTATCTGGACAAAGCAACATTGATTTGGAATGGCAATGCAGTGTCTGGGCAAGAAGCACTGAAAGAATTTTTTGAAATGTTGCCGTCTAGTGAATTCCAGGTTAATATGTTGGACTGCCAACCTGTTCATGGTAAGGTAATTTTATAATTCAGGATATTTATTGTTCTGAAAGCCACATTGATCAATATTTTTAACATCTAAGGAAAGTGAACAAGTTGAATAAAAATCCTGATAGCTAAATGTAGGGCTATTTTAAAATAAAGGGTCGTAATAGGAAAATTACTGCTTAAAACTGTACAGTAGAACTTTAGTAAACTTCCTTAAGAACATTTACTCCGGTGTAGCCTTGATTTTTTTTTTCATGCACCAAAGCAGTTATTTTAATACATTAAAAGTAACTTTAAGGGGAATTTAACCTCTATGTGGCATTGTAATATAAACTGTGCAAGTTAAAATATTATTAACAACTAACGTGTTAATGAATTAGTTACCATTGATGTTTCTGTTTGTAACAAAACAATATAAAAATCAGCTGACTGTGTATACTCTTCCAATCATTTGCTAACACACCTGTAACTGTGATTGGTATTAGGGATGTAAAATCCCTGATTGAAAGGGGGTGGACAGCCTGTGCTCTGGTCAGGCTGGTGCAGATCAGGCTGCCCTGCCCAAGATGGAACGTGTTCCTGCCTGTGGCACACTGGGCTGGGCCTGCTGCAGACAGGGAGTCCTCTGGCTGGGCTGGAGCATACCCCTGCCCACAACGGGGTTGGGGTGGGAGAGAGGAGGGCCTGCTCCAACCCACTGGTTAACCATTCACGCCTGTAATTGGTATGGACATTAGTAAGTGAACACACTAGCTTTTCATAGAAACAGCTGAAGTGATGGGAAATTGTATTTAACTTTTTTTTTAACATGCTTTCATTCTCTTTGTAAAGAGCAAGCTACTCAAAGCCAGACAACAGTCCTTGTGGTGACATGTGGGTCAGTAAAATTTGATGGCAACAAGCAACGTTACTTCACCCAGAATTTCTTACTGACAGCACAAGCTACACCTACTAGCACAGTGTGGAAGATTGCAAGTGACTGCTTCCGCTTTCAGGATTGGGCCAGTTAATGGGGACTGAAGTGATGGCTTTCCTTCTCCATTGCATTACTTTAGGTCTCTGGACAGTCATTCTCTAAATGTGGAAGATCTTTATCCCTTCTCCTGTTGTGCTGTTCATCCTGGAAATACTGCAGATCTGTTCTGTGCTGGTCCTGGTGAACCTGGACTTTCATGGCAAATGGTTTTTTTTGAAACAGAAGAAGTTTGCTCAAGTTAATTGGGCTCCTATGAAATATTTAACGCAGCAAGGCAGAGGGCATTCCGTTCCTGAAGTTTGTGTTAGTGGTTCACTTATGTAATGTTGAAGTCATTCCTGTAAATGCCTTACACGCAACTATCCTGTTTCTTCAGGAACTTTTCCAATTCTATTGAATGCTAAAATCTCCACTACTTGGACACTGAATCCATTCATACAGATGTGCGATTATTTCAGTTTAGAAACACCGGTTTTGAAGTTCTACACCTATGACAGTGAGAAATGGAATTAGTTGTTGATGTGACATGTGAATGAAACTTAGAACTGCTTATTTTGAGCCTAGAGCTTGAACTGGCAACCAGAGGTTTTTTCTCCTGGCCACATCATAGTAATTTCTCATGAATAGAAAGAGATCCCACTACGAGTTCTAGCATTGCCTATGAACATATTATGTGGTTTGGGGGAATAAAAAAAATGGCAAATATAGTTGTGCTTTCTGATTCCTCTCCAAAAATTGAAAATATATGTCTTGAATTTGTGTAAACTCTCATAACGTCATCTGTTGCAAACCCAGAGTTTAGTGTCCTTTGGATGTACAAGGCCTACAATTCTTATCAGGTTTCTCCTTTGGCTTAAGTCTGTTAATATTTGATTATAATCACTTATGTAGATCCAGATCCACACTAACAGCTCTGTTGCATACAAAGGAAAAGAACAAGAATGTTAAGCTGATTTGAGAAGATGTTTCTCTTTCTTTGGCAGTCTTGGAGGATAAGCTACATGTCAGTTAGCAATGGTCATCTTTTGTTTTCTGTGGCAAACAATTTCATTATTACTGTGAAGCACAACATACTTATCTTATTGCAACTTTTTCTCATATTTTGAATTGCCAAGTTTTTACCCCATCAATCTGAACCATTATAATAGGAAAGTGACATTGAAATTGTATATATGGTCTGCTAGTCTTTAGTGCAGTTGGTCAGAGTAGATTAAGGATCTTAACCTCCTGAGGAATGAAGATGAGAGGATGCAAAGTTAATGTGCAACTTTCATTTGTCTTTCTCCTGCTTTGTTTTTATTAAGGTAAACATATTTTGAGAAAACCATAAATTGATATGCTCTTGGTTCTATTTAAAAAATTTTTTTATTGTTTTAAAGTTTAGAGAGTAGACTGCTTTCTTAACTTGAATTAACACTTTAGATACCAGAATGGCAACACTTTGTGATAAGACTGCTAACCAAAGTTTAGCAAATAAGGATAGAAAACACACACACACTGTTTGTAACTAAAAATATGTGACAGTAACTTGCAGATCTGATCTTAATTTCATCCTGACGGAGGCTTTGACAATTCACAAGGCTGTACACAACCATTGTACTTGAAGGGTTGAAATGTGAGATGAGGAAACAACTCATTCCTCAAATCAGAATACAGAAAATAAACCATATTGTACAAAACAAGTATACTTTATATGTTTCAACAAATAATGATATAATTTGATATTAAGATGAAATAGTTGGCTAGTATTTACCTTAATGGGTTTCTAGCAATGATTATATCATTAGGTTGGAGGATGAGTTATACGTTGGCCAACTCTTAAATGGAAATTTTTCTATAGTTGAAGTTGGAAAATTCCTTGCTCAAGAAACTGCTTTCTCTGTGTTCCTACTTTTGAGAAATCAGGACTTTAAAAATGACATACGGACTACAAAAATGTTTAATGGAATAAACACTGTAAATGTATTGCATCTGTATGTGGGGGAGAGGAGAGGGCTGACCTTTTTTAACAGTTCAGTGTCATCTTGCAATAACATTGGGAGAGTCTCATCTTTTTACCAAACCAAAAGAAGAATTAACATTGACAGTACCTGTCAATTATATAGCATTGTTAACTGTGGTGATGTTGTATTATGGTTACAACTCACTATTTCTTGAATTAGTAATATGACTCCCATCTGTGTCTTGTCTACATAGGATATCGGTATAACTTTTAGCTCTAAAACATTAACAGGTGAAATTCCTGCACTGGGTGTTCAGAACACAGTATTCTTACACCAAACACACACATTTGTACTCAAGTAAATATTTATTTAAAATTATTGGAATGACACCTTAAATCTGAAATTAGCATGTACGGTTGTTTAAAATTTTCTGCCAAAACAAGAGGATGTTGTATTTCAAGTTTGAATTTTACTGTTAGCTGTTGTGTACATTCTCTTCAGATGGAAGCAGGTTTGGGCTTTGTGTGTGGCTGGTGCTATTGGTGCTCTGAGTTCTTACTATTTGAAACATAATGTGGTATGTGCATAAACTAACCTAGTTATACAAGCTCTTTCTTCCATTATACTTCATATTAATTTCACAGTTGGAAGTGGATCTTGGCTTTGCTTGCATGTATTTTTGTGAAATGGGCAGAATTATCTTTTGCACTATTCTGCTTTTCTCCCCTGGGGTGTGTCTAGACTACAGGTTTTTGGTTTTTTGAAAAAAGTAGCCTTTTCTCAAAAAAACTTCCCCTGCATCTAGACTTGCCACTTTTTTTCAAAAGTAGATTGAAAGAACACGGCAGTTTTTTTGACCGCAGAAAACCTTGTTTTACAAGGAAGAATACCTTTTTTCGGAAGTGCTCTTTCGAAAAAAGGCACTATGTAATGCAAACTGCTTTTTCGAAAGAGAGTAGCCAGTCTGCCTGGGTGCTCTCTTTCGAAAAAGCAGCTTGCTTTTTCGAAAGTACTGGTTGCAGTCTAGACGTAGCCCTGGTTACTAATCTTCAGTAGAACCATAATAAGGTTTTGGCTTTGGAAGTTGTTGATGGTTTTGTCCTTGTAGCTGGAAGTGATCTGTCTTCAAAATGTTCTTAAAGAAAAGAAACATATTTAGGCTGCTACCATAACTACCTGCTAACCAAGATTCTTAATTTTCTTAATTCTTGTTCAGAACTATAAAAACTAGGCTGCATACATTTCTAAACACTAATACTTCCCCTTTCTGTCTAAATAGTACATTTCAGGTATGTAGCAAAGCAGTAATACAAAATCAAGCTAAAAAGCTAAGCACTTGCAAAACCTAATAGCATCTTCTGGCACCTGAGGCCTGGATAGACCAATTCTGCCCATTTTGTATTGCCCCCATTAGTCAATTCTGTTTAACATTTTAGTTATGTTGCTTTGCTCTTTTCAGCATGCCACAAATAATTTAAAATGCTCATTGCTGCCATATCTTGGAGGAAAGTATTTTGTCTTCATAGAAAATGTAAGTGATACTTGTTATCTGATGAGGGAATTCTTTATATACAAAAGTGTTTTTTAAAATCAAAATAATTTTCTATGAACTTGAATATGTTTTATAATCTTTTGCAGTTGCTTAAGACCTTATAAGGGTGTCACTTTAAAAATTTTTATCTGGTACTTTATTTTTATTACAAGTTTTCATAGTGTTTCTTGTTATATTAAAGTGCAGGAAATAATATTTGGCTATTCAACTTTGCTGTTTGAGCTTTCTGTCTTTGAGTTTCATATGTTCTAAGTATTGCCATGTTATGGCACGCAAGTATCTCAGAACAGAAGCCACCAATATGCGTGCTCTTGATGGCAGCAATATGGCTCCTGAAATGAGAAAAATGCACATGGGGTGGTAACTGATTGCTGATGTACATGACTGTGCAGGCAAGTAATGCCTGTGAAGAGGTCCGTGAAGGACAATGTTATCGTGGTTTTCTGCAGTGCTAACTCCACAGAGCTTTTACAATCTTTTGTGCTCTTCTGGCCATTTTGCCTTGCATAAAAGGACTGGTATAGTGGTGAGGAGATTAAAAGGAAGCCATCTTTTTTTGGATATATAAGGTATAGCATGATGGGGCTTCTAAGCACTACTTCAGTACAACTACTAATGGATGTGGGGGAGGGGAGGAGAAAATTAGGGTACATGATGGGGTGGAGTTCCCAGCAACACTGTAGTTTTGTCTCCAGGCTCCTGTACTTTCCAGAAGGCAGGTGGAAAACTGGAATGTCTAAAACAATGTGGGGTAAGTAAATATATTGGTACTTAAGCCTCCCAAAACTATGTTTTGGGTTGAATGAGTTCTAGGACATTAAATAATAAAGCAACTAACATCCGTAGAGTCCAAGGACTGAATGGGGACTGAACCATTGTCTCATCCCATGATGATGATCCTCCTTGGATGTAATTTAGACAACTCGGCATAGTACTGAGAGACGTTTGTAGGATTACAATGTATAACTTCAATATCTGGGACCATCAAGCAAACACTATTTTAAGTTCAGTAGAGTATTTGTCTCTAGAATTCATTTGATCCTACTCAGGCTGCCAGTCAGTGTCAAATGTCATAATGGCTGTTGTGATGGAAATGGTTGGCACTGGCTTGAGACCCACCAAAACACTTTTTCTAGACTACCGACTGATCACCAGGCACCAGATCCCTTCTTTGATAAAGATTCCGTGGTTAATATATACAGCAAAAAGTAACAGACTGTGGTACTACAAAGTATAAATTCTAATGTGAAGACCACATTACTCATTCTAAAATAAGCCCTGCTGTCACTCTAAAATGAGTGAGTGGACGTTCTTGTGTCATACAGTTTAAAATACACTACCTTTCTTTTGATGATATTACAGGAGCCCATTCCCAACACTTCTGCTCATCTAAATGAAATGTTTTCTTATGCTATGAACTCTTCCTCAACCACAATAAAATGAAATTGATTTAGGAGGCCATGTGAGACGTGGATCAATGCTGCTTTAATGAGTTTTGTGGTATCTATTGTATTTTCATGTTAACCCTATTTCTACAAATTATGGATGGATCAAGTGTTCTAGCCCACTCCTTGTGGGTGCTGATCTTTCACATCAGATGGTGCTCAGTCCTACTGACACTCAGGAAATAGGGTACACAGCACCATACAAAAGTCAACCCTGGCCAACTGCACCACAGGTATTTTAGTATTTTCATTAGTCATGGAACTTCCCTCATTCCATGAATTTATTCCCTGGCCTACCACATGTCTCTCTTCCCCTTTCAGTTGATGTTTTTTTATGGCTAATAACCAAGTAAGGGCCACAACGATCAGAAATACAGCACAGTGTATGCCTGGAGCAAAAACACACACCAGAAGACTGGTTCATTAAACCAACAAACCCCAATAACTATTTCTGGCTTTAGTCACAATTGGGCTCCATTATTTCCTTTAAATATTGAACTGCTCAGTATTCATAACACACATTGAGTTACAAGCTTTGAGAATTGATGGTACTTGTTCTGTGGTTCAGGGTGGATGCAGGTCCTTGCCAATTTATCAGCTAAGTAATCTGTACACGTGGGAAATACATAGTGATAATCTCCAAGCAATATCAGTGAGTGCTGCCTGTGAAATACAACTTATTTTTAGCTGCATAGCTTTTCTCCAGCGAACAAGTTTTCAAAACATCCCTACTATGAGACTCCAATGCAGTCAAGAAAAGAATGTCAGTCTTAGTAAAAGTCAAGAGAGTGAATTTTTTAGAAGACAGCCAATCTAGTTCACCCTGAAGTTGGGGGCTAACTTGTACAGAAGGGTAGAGTAAATGATAAATAGCGGTCCGTTTGGGCCTTCAAACTTGTGAATAACAGTGTTACAAAGCTAGCAGTTATTAAACACATTTTCATCTGACTGAAAATAATTCAATGAAAATGTTGATGGTTGGTTGGGCTGGCTATAAATACCCCACTCCAGTGTTTGCAGTACAAGCAATTACATAACTGTGAGAACCAAAATGTGGTTTGAAGATTTGCAGATGGAAAATATAGCACAATGAGCCCGTAAAGCTACCTATGAGGGGTAGCTGAGAATTCCCTCAAATATGAATAATTTAACAAATTTATGTGAAAAGTAATACAGGAGAATCCAGCAACAACTAGCTCTGACCACAAAAACACAGTTACCAAGGACGAGTTGTTGGTCTGAGTTACCAAAAGGTGAAGACTTAATTCTTATTTCAACTCACAGAACTAATATCCACAGTAACCGAAAGCTATTTAAACAATAAGTTCAAGGTTTATTGCAAACATTTTGCTGTAGAATACTAACCTTTTAATTACTGAAATATGCAGACATCACATACCAAAAGACACTGGTCTGTAATTGCTTTGTAATTAAGACACAACGTCCTACAATAAGTTCATAAGATTAAATCCTAGCTCTACACAACTCAATGGCAAAGCTCTCATAATACACTAACCTTAGGTTAACACTGTCATTATTTATTTTATCAGTTAAACAATTATTTTAGCTGTCTTACAAATACAACAATAAAGGACAGAGTTAATGTGGCTGGAATGCCTAATGTAAATTTTTCCATATCTAGGTTTATTAGTGAATTTCTTCTGTATTCAAATTTGTATTTACCACATTTTAAGGTTTAAGTTCTCTTAATTGAAACATTCTCAGAATTACATTTTTGTAACTATCTTTATTGTAAATTATCAAAATAACTTGGGAATCTCCTTGGTGGTGGTAAGAAAAAAAAAACAAAACAAAATGTATATTATCCTAAATCAAGCTGTTTGCTGAATGCTAAGGTTGGCATATACTCCTGGACCTATTTAGATTTTAGCACATTAGGGATGTTAAATTTAGATTAACAGGCTAATCGAATAGTCGATGCAATTTGCAAGGCTGTGGCTACACTTCAAAGGTGAAAGCGCTGCAGGGAGCACAGGGCCAGTGGGGGGCTCCAGCAGTCCCCTGATGGTCTTGTGCTCCACTTAGCATTTCAAAGCAGCAGTGCCGCATGGAGACTGAGGCCAGCACTGCTGCTTTGAATGCTGTGTGCAGCCCAGGACCAGCTGGGAGTCCAGTCCCT